TGCAGGCCATGATAAGTTTAAAATAAAACACACACAGTCGACCGGTTTCGTCCCCTCTCGTCAGAACTGTTAACGGGGAATTTAGGAAAAGAAAAAGAAAAAAGTCTGTCATGGGTGACATGAATGAATGGACAGGGAAGGAAGGAAAGATAAAATTATACCAACCAAGCTGCTAGAAGATTAATTTGATTAGGACCCTGACACATAGGGCGTTAATGATCTGTTCGCATGACACCTTGAAACATGAAATCAGTTGTTTAACTGAGATCTTTGTGAACAATGGTTATCCGTTGAACATTGTTCAATCGGTTATTCGAGATGAGACCGCCAGGTTCAACAAAATCAAACCTGCTTCAGTTGGTAAATGTCCGGTCTATCTTCGTTTACCGTGGTTGGGTAGGATTAGTGAATCCTTCGCCAAGCGTATTTCATGTAGTTCACGTGAGTGTTATTTTGCAGCGAACGTTTGTGTTGTTTTTCAAACTAGGTCTGTACTTCCATCTATGTGTAAAGATGTTCTACCCCCCCACCATATTAACTCTGTTATTTATTATTTCAAATGTAGTTGTGGATGCGACTATATAGGTAGAACGACACAGCGGTTGGACGAGAATTAAACAACACGTACCTGCGATAATACTAAACAAAAAATTTTCTTCGGCGATACCATGGACTAGTTTTAACATTTTCTTATGAGTCTTCGATTGCGGATCATTTTATAAAGAATCCAATTTTTGTTTGCGATGGATTTCAGTGTGAACTGGTTTTTTTTCTGTCTTACGACGAGGGGCCAGTTCGCACTCACTTTTCCATCTCTAAATGGTGTTGATAAATCGCTTTACATCAGGTCCCGGCCTTCTCTTTGCAAACAAAGAGATTGTTTGCTTGGACTTGCTGTTCTGCGCTTCCAGCAGCTTGGTTGGTATAATTTTATCTTTCCTTCCTTCCCTGTCCATTCATTCATGTCACCCATGACAGACTTTTTTCTTTTTCTTTTCCTCATAATCTAAATTCCCCGTTAACAGTTCTGACGAGAGGGGACGAAACCGGTCGACTGTGTGTGTTTTATTTTAAACTTATCTTGGCCTGCAATACAACATTTCTAGTTTTTAATGCCTTATATATATATATATATATATATATATGTGTGTGTAGCTAGTAATAAGCAAAATTTTTGGGGCATTTTTAAAAATGCTAAAAAAGAACTACCGTGTAAGCGTGTAGATTAAATTAATATATTAATTTAATTTACACGCTTATATATTTTTAATATCCCAAAAATAAAATTGATAAGGCTGGGACGAAACCAGTTTTTTTTTTTTTTAGTTTTTTTATTCATAACTATCGTAAAATTTTGTACCATAACAAACTTATATACATATATATATAGTAATTAGTAGGAGGATTTGATAATGATATTTAATTAATTCATCGAGTCTGATAGAAACCTCTACAGAATGCAGGAAGCACTGGACGGCCGTTTCGTCCTACATTTGGGCGCATCCACTACCGAGAATTGAAACCCTGACAGTTGGGTTGTCAAGCGAACACATAGGCATCGGTGACAAAGAGATTCCAAATCAGACTCAACTAAGCGCCGCTCGCTCACATATTCCGTGGCGGAACTCTACTGAGTTCTCTGTAACCATAGGACTGTGCCACCAGGAGCCACGACTACTCTCACCAAGCCGCTACCAACTGGAGCATTAGAAGCCGGTTCAAGCGAAGATAAACACGGATAGTAATTAGTAGGAGGATTTGATAATGATATTTAATTAATTCATCGAGTCTGATTTGGAATCTCTTCACCGAGGCCCATTTGGAACAGTTCGCTTGACAACCCAACTGTCAGGGTTCGATACTCGGTAGTGGATGCGCACAGCTGATGAGTCCCAAATATAGGACGAAACGGCCGTCCAGTGCTTCCTGCATTCTGTAGATGTTTCTATCAGACTCGATGAATTAATTATATATATATATATAGAGAGAGAGAGTAAATATCTAAAGAGTCAGAATCTATTTACCTAGGTTTCACCTACCGAATTATCAGGATGATATATATATGTGTGCGAATATAAAATATATATATTTTATGAATGAACATTTGTATGTACGTATTTACAATTTTGTATGAATACAACAGCGAACATGGTGTTATCTTGTTATCTAGATTGGTATTATAAATAAATATTTGTATGCAAAACTTTGTATATATGTGTAAATGTGGACGTATATAATTTATTTGTTTATGTCATATATCTGTATTTCAATTAGCGTTAGATAATTGCATTTGGATGTATGTAAATGTTTATATATATATATATTTAAATAAGTTTTTTATAGTACAAAATTTAACAATAGCTAGGAATAAGCGACATTTGTAAAAAAAGCTCAAAAAGAACAATTGGTTTCATCCCAGGACCTATCAAGTTTATTTCCTGGGATATAAAAAGGAAGCGTGTAAATTTAATTAATAATAATGATAACGGATGGGGAAAGAAAAAAAGAAGAATTTCAAGAAAGCTAGAGTTCAATAACATTCAGATCCAGTAAGCATTCCCTCTGTTTATACGGGGAAGGCCCTCGGGATCTGATATGCAAGGACTCTAGAACCTTGAGGTGAAATGTGGAGTAGGACCTAGATAAAATCGAGGACAGAATTCTTTATATTTATTACATGCTCAGCAATATAATATATATATATATATATATATATATATACATACACACACTATCTCTTCAGATAGGTTTTCCTCTAGGTAAGCTAAAGTTAGTGGGGTATATGTTTCGTTCCCATTGTGGTACGTAGGGTTTGGATATAGTTTTTGTTGTCAATTTCAATCGTACCTCATTTTTTTTTCAAGATTTGTTCTATTCTTTCCGCTTTCTAAGTGAGTCAGGACTTTCTGGCCAACCTAGTATATATAAATATATATTAAGCTGTTCAAAGAATAATCTCCGATTTTAGAATCAACATCCCTCGGTGCAGCATCAGGACTGAATGGTGGATGTAGAAGAGTCTCTACACCGTCAAGCCTCCTCGAAGATCGAAATAGCCATATAGATGGGGTACAATTGAGTTTCATTTTTTATGTAATTCTTTTTTGGATCAGTTTTAATATTTTACGTTGTGAGGATTCAATTGAATTACTTACCCACGGATTTTTACAGATATATATATATATATATATATATATATAGGTTGGTCAGAAAGTATTAAGTCACTTATGAAGCAACCCCAATATTTATTCTTCAAAATAACGTCAAAAATTCTCGATGATCTTCTGCCAACGATCAGCCAGCATCCTCATCTGTCAAATGTATACATACATACATATATATATATATATATATATATATATATATATATATATATATATATATATAATAAAAAAGCTGAATAAAATAGCTGTAAGCAGGCTTCTTTCATTTCATCATAAGTTTTGAATTGCTGGTCTTGGAGGAAGTGAGCCTTTCAGCGGAATAGGCTATAGTCGCTCGGAGCAATATCAGGACTGAAAGGTGGATGTGGAAGAATCTCAACAGCCAACCTGGCAGTGTGTGGTATCACAGTCTTGCTGAAACAAAGCCTGATTTCGATTGACCAAAACAGGAAAGTCTTCCTTTCGTTTGTCGTACACGCTGTCTAGTTGCTGGCAATAGAGTTTCGCTTTTATGAACAAGCTCGAAATGCAGTACTCCTTGGAAATTCCACCAGGGATCAAGATTTGTTCTATTCTTTCCGCTTTCTAAGTGAGTCAGGACTTTCTGGCCAACCTAGTATATATAAATATATATTAAGCTGTTCAAAGAATAATCTCCGATTTTAGAATCAACATCCCTCGGAGCAGTATCAGGACTGAATGGTGGATGTAGAAGAGTCTCTACACCGTTAAGCTGCTTGAATTTCACCTTAGTCAACCTGGAAGTGTGTCGAATCGTAGTCTTGCTGAAACAAACCTGATCTCGATTGACCAAATCAGGATAGTCCTTGTTTCGTTTGTCGTACACGCTTTCTAGCTGCTGGCAATACAATTTAGCGTTTATGAAGCAACCGCGTCGAACAAGCTCGAAATGCAGTACCTCTTGCCCGTTCTTATTATGACGATAAAGTACATCTGCGTCATTGGTAGACTTTATACTACAGCAAGTCCTCTGTTCAAGAAGTTTTGAGGAGCGTTGAACCACCTCTTAATTGCTAGTGTTCCCAGCCTGACCCGGGGTGGTAGCACTTGTTAGGGTCCCAAATATGGGCAAATAGTTGACTCCCAAAATGGGGACAAATGACTATGAAGGTGCAGAAATAGGTTTTTATACTAGGAATTAATTTTTGGAAAAATTATTACCAGCAATACATTTTTGAGGGAAAAAATATTACCAGCAATAAAAATCATATCGGCATTAAATAACCCATTGAGATTGATACGCCGTAAAACAAACCAAACCAAGCCGAAACGTTGCAAGCCCCTCTTTACCGTATCGCTATTTCTATGGCAAGTGTTCTGATTTGCCATATTCTTTGTTTCCACCAGTCCTGAGTTTTGGAGCTGGGATCCGCCATGACACATATATGAACAATATCCCCTTCAGGTAGCAAGAAATAAATTCCACTTCCCAAGAACTCCCGGTCAAATGTTTTCCCCGATCTCTACAACCCTGACCTCTTCCGATCTAGAGTTAACCCTTATCTTTTCTACATAACCCCATGAACTGAACTTTCATCCTTTTCTGAGGCTCATATAACACCACAAAATAAGCCTCGACCTTGAGTGGCTCTTGGGCCTATGTATTGCATAAAGATGATTGCATAGAAGATTTAATCTGCAATCTTCATTGGGGCTGCATAGATAGCCAAATCATTTTTTCTCGATTTATCCACCAAGCTGCCGGCTTAGGGTCGCATCACGTTGAAACACCGAAGTTAAGCAACGTCGAGTCTTGATGAATAACCGCTTGGAAATACCAGGTGCTGTCATCTTGGATTTTCTGTTGGTGTGGCTTAGGGCCACATCAAGTTGAAACCTCAGTCCTCGTCCGATCACCGATGTTAAGCAAAGTCGAGCCTGGTCAGTACCTAGATGGGTGACCGCTTGGAAATGCCATGCTATAATCAAGAATTTTCGAGTTTAGCAGCTTACGGCCATATCACTTTGAAACACCAGTCCTCGTCCGATCAGCAATGTTAAGCAACGTCGGGCTTGTTCAGTATCTAGATGGGTGACCGCTTTGGAATGGCAGGTGTTGTAAGCTTGGATTTTCGAGTGGTGTGACTTACAGGTATATCACGTTGAAACACCGGCCGTCGTCCGCTCACCAATGTTAAGCAACCTTGATCCTTGTCAGTACTTAGGTGGGCGAACGCTTTGGGATGTTAGGTGCTATAATCATGCATTTTTGTGTGGTGTGGCTCAGGCCCAGATCACGTTGAATCACTTGTCTCGTCTAATCACCGATGTTAAGCAACGTCGAGCCTGTTCAGTTTCTAGATGGGTGACCACTTTGGAATGCCAGGTGTTGTAAGCTTGGATGTGTAGTTATCTTTTATCTTTCCTACATAAAGTCATGCACTTCTCACACTCATGTCATACCACACATTGAATATCTGCCTTGAACGGCACTTGGGCCGTTTATCGTTTAACCATTAGTATAGATAAAAAACGCAAACAATGAATCGCTGCTTTTGAAACGTTTTCTTTCAATTTCTGAATCATTCCTGAGTTTCCTGAAAACCATTTTTTTTTTAATTTGGCTGTCAAAGCCAGAATGACGATTCAATTAGTGGAAAACCAATTTGAAACGGAATGAGCAATTTGGTAAGGAGCATTAAAATACCTGATATCTGATTTCTTGGCTTCCTTCGCAATAGTATGAATACTAATTGTTTACGCTCTCGAACGCCTCGGGAGGTCGTTGCATTAGTGTGACCTTCTGTGATCTGTAGCTCAAACTTTCATTTTGGTCAAATGTATCCGACATAACAGGCAGCTTAAAATGTGTTTTATTGCAAATTTTACGAATATTTTACGTCTCCCCACTCCCAAGTAGATGATAATTTCACAGTGGGAAGCATAGACATGGTCAAATCTCGCCGACAAATCGTTTTTTTTCTTTAAGTTTCTCTTACTCATATATATTACAGAAGACAACATTACTCTTTTATAGATGTTTCTTTTTTTCAGTTAAAACTTTCTTAAACTTAAGAGCACTTAGATGTCGATATGTGTATCCTCTTCAGCAAATAGTCAACCAGCTGTATTCAATACCTAACTTCTGTTTTAAACTCGACAAAGATAGGTTATTTTTTCTGTAAATATTTAACAGTAAAGATCTTCCACGTGGAATACTTAAGCATGCATCTCAGGTAAACGTTTCATGTTAAAATGATGCTTTATAGGAGTCGGTCGTAGTTGGCATCATCGAGCCAATTGGAACGATCCGTTCCTTAGCTGAATTGTATGTGATTTTCCAGGGCTACATACAGTTTTGAATTCAGAGATTTCCTTCTGTTAGACTAGTTGTCTTCCAGTGCTATAGAACCCAGTCTGTTAAGGAAACAACCTTAGTCAGGATCATCGAGTCAATGCAAACGATTCTTTCCTTAGCTGCATAATATGTGCTTCACCAGGGCTACATACTGTTTTGAATTCAGTTTTCCTTCTCCTAGACCTGTAGCCATCCAAGGCTATAGAACCCAGTCTGTTAAGGAATCCACCTAAATCGGGATCACCGAATCAATGCGAACGATCCTTTCCTTAATTGCATAGTATGTGCTTCAACAGGCCTACATACAGTTTTGAATTTAAAGTTTTCCTTCTCCTAGACTGGTTGCCACTCAAAGCTATGGAACCAAGTCTGTCCTACTATTTAAGCATAACTAGGGGAAGACGTCTTGAATTCATCCCTTCCCCAAGTGTATTAGCACGTAAGTGAATGTAATGAATTCGACTGGAGTTCGAACTCGGCTCTCCGATTCTTCAATCCGAACCGCTATCATTACTCTCCCATGCCTTATATGTTATTCTTTTTAGCATTATTGAGACACAATTTTAACTGATATATTTTCATATCGCACGCTTACTCGTACCAGAAGAGGATGAGTTTGGTGTCATCTTTTCTTTATCGAGTCTCTTCTTAGGCCATTTTTGTTGACTTAGCTAAGCTGTAAGAGAGGTGGGCAATGGATATATTTCTTAGCCTACATTTTTATTATTTCAAACGTTAATTTTGGTGGATATCCGTATTTGAAAGAGACGTTCAGTTTATTTTTTATTTTAAAACCTGTGTCCTGTCGGCCTGCTCACTTAATAAAGAAAATGTCATAGTTCGAACATGTTTGTTTTCAAGCAAAATAACCTGAACGAGGAAATGTGTTTTAATTAAAAGGGAAATAAAACCTTCTTCTCGCTCTGTAGTCGAGCGGGATAATTTACGTCAGATCAAATGGTGGTTACTCCCACAAAGGAGGACATAGGCGTGAGGATGTGAAAGTACCTGGCATCATAAATATTTTATTTTGGAGGTGTCGGGAGTGAGGGTGCCATTGTTACGGTTTTTTGGGTATATACCGTGTGTAACTAGTGAGCGAGTCAGAATGACTTATTTCTCTTTATAGTCGACCAATAGAAGGTTGACCAATCAGAAGCCGCCCAACACTGTACTCATAGTGTATAAAGGCGGCCATCTTGTTTCCTCCTACCTGAAGGACCAAAGGCGAAGGACGAACTACACTCTGCTGTGATATCCACTGCGAACCTCCACTTCGCTTTCCTACTATCTCCGAAATATTCACTGCCAACCTCTGGATGCGATACTCGAGGACGACCGTCATAAAAATGTCTAACAGCCATTTCATTGCCATATTTGAGAATAACAACCCTTCTCCTTACCACATCAAGACTATCTGAACATGATTCTTCGTTCTGGCAATAAAAATCTTCAGTGATGGTCCTTTCATGTTCCAGTAGCTCGGAATGGATGACACATTTGATATTCTATAAGAAGCATAGCAATGATTCACGTGGATAGAATCCTGGTATTTGGTGTTGGTACTGCGTCTTTAATTTCGATAAATACTGTTTTTCTTTTTACAGTTGACACACCAAACTAATTTTTCATCATCTTTAAGAATCCAAAGAAAATAGCAAATGTTAGTGTTCCTGGTTAAAAGAATGTTTCAGATAGTGGGATGCCGTGTTTAGTTTCCAAGAGAAATCGCCCGACGATAACACATTCATTTAATAGGTTTTCTTAATAAACATCGTTAGCGAAGATACTTTCATATTTCTAGTATTTCGTGTTGGCACTTCGTCCTTATTTTCGATAAATACGTTTTTTCTTGACATGCCAAACTCATTTTTCATCACTTTTAAGAATCCGATGCTAATCTTAAAGCTTAGCCTTCTTGGTTAAAAGATTGCTTCATATAGTGGGATGTTGTGTTCAGATCACGAGAAACCCATATTCCGTTTCTTCAGCTTGTCATAATTCGGTTTACATATTCATGGAGAGTTGACCGCGGCGTCAAGCTTTAGTGTCAGATATGTGCTGCATTGACGTTGGTTTAATTAGATCCACGCAGAAGTTCTCCATTCAGAATGTGTCGTTTTTCAGGACAAAGCCTGTTGGGTATGTCGCAATCGTAATTAGTGAGCCTCTTTAACTGCAAGGGACATGTACTTGCCTTCATTGCAATCGTATAGATTTCACAAACGTTTTAAATGCCTCTGTAACAGGATTGCCATTACGAAATCCACCTAGAAGGCAGTTATAACTTTGAAAAGCATTATAAATGATATACTGTAGGATAGTATATTTTATAAAGTAATTCTAGGCTCAGCTTTATACCATTCAACCCTGGTTATTTGACTAATAAACCCTATAAATAATCGAAATAGGTAACAATACCTAATCTCAGAAATATAGGCAGAACCTGAAGAAGGTCGGAGCGTACAACGGCCGAAACGTCGTGAATATGGCATTGAAGAATGAGGATTGTAGTACGAATAATGTAAATAATGTAACAGTAAAGTTGGTTTAATATTTTCTAAACCTACAGAAAAAGACACAGGCGAAATACAAGAAAACATTTTAGTTGCAAGACATACCGAAATATATACAAACAATGAATGCTTCCACTGCCAGCCTCCAAGCAGTCGCGTCCAGACGGCCATATGCGTACCAGTTGGCAGTCATGGTTGTAAAGACGAACAGTCGTATATGTCGTAATTCGACGACGACCTGTATTAGAATGTTTGAAAAATAATTTTAAAACAAGACAAAACAAGAAGATGCCAATTACCAGAGACAATTTCTCTGACACTTTGATCCGGGTTTTGTTCTACTAGTGTTTTTCGATGCTGATTATCAATTGCAGATGAACGTCGTCTACCAAGTTGATTTTCAAGACTCGTATTCCCACTGCGGAGCTTCAGAAACCGGCACCGTACTGTCATATTACAAGTAAATCCTTTACCTCATGCTCTGTTAATCTTAGCAGCAGTTTGAGGAGCACTATTGCCATGGTTGAACTCAGGTTCAAAATGAGGAGCATATAATGTTTTAAATTAAATTCTGAAAGAGATTGCTATAAAATTAACAAAGATGACACTTTAATAATTAGGAATGAGTAATATATTTTTTTTATACAACTATTATATTAATATATTAGAACCCAATTAAAAGGTTTAGTCTAAAATCGGATGTTTTCTTAATGAACAACCTGATACTAATACTCAGGGTTTATACAAGGTGCGTCACGTATTTGAGAAAAACATTCTGAAAGAGATTGATATGAAATTAACAAAGAAGACGGAAAGTGTAATATATTCTGTGCAATAATAATAATAATAATAATAATAATAATTTTAAACAAATCTAGATTTCGGTTTCGTTTTTTTTTTATCTGTTACTCTTAACGGCGTCTTTATTTGAAATTTCAAAAGAGCCTCCCATTAGCTGTCATTTAAACAAATGGCTACAGTTAAAAGACAGATCCTGCTGACAGAAAGTAGAAATGAAGCAGAATTCAATAACAATAATAATATTAATTGTAGTAATAGTAATGATGAAAGTAAGAATATAATTTGCATATATGTATGTAGATGTACTTATAGTGATTTTCCAAGAGTAGGTTAGATGTGACACAAGGCCGAATGTAGGCGGCATCCAGTGAGGATCGAACTCACTACTCATTCGTAACTGTTCTAGTGAGACAAGCACTAAGCGAGGTATATATATATATATATATAT